GAACTGTCAGTTTCTTAAAAAGTGAAACATATACCTAGTCATTCCACTGCCAGGTATTCACCCAAGAGAAATAAAAGCATATGCCCATACAAAGACTTGTGCATGAATCTTTAGAGCAACTTTACATGTACTAGTCCCAAAACAACTCAAATGCCCATCAACAAATGAATGGATAACGAGTCATGGTATATCCACAAAATGGAAAACTCCTCAGCAATAAAAGAATGGATACATGCAACAGGATGGAGAAATTTCAAAATAATTATTCTGAGTGAAAGAACGCTAAGAAAAAATAATTTCATTTATAAAAAATTCTGAAATATACAAACTAATCAATAGTGACAGAAAGCAGATCGGTAGTTTCCTGGAGTAGAAAGAATGTGAAACAGGGAAAGAAGGGAGAAAGGGATTACAGTCTTGATGAAATTTTGGGGCTTATGGATGATTGTTATCTTGATTATGGTGATGGTATCAAAAGTGTATATATATGTCAAAACTCATCAAATTGTATACTCTAATGTGCAGTTTAGTGTATATCATTGTACCTCAGTAGAGTTATAAAATAAAAAAGGAGGGTATGAATTATAAACATTGCATTTTAGTGTTCATGTCTTTGCCTGTAGTCAACGACAAGGAAGAAACTAGGGCAAATGACAGTAGACATCTTCTTTGAATAAAATAGGACTGTATTTGTTTAGTTAAGCTAAAATATCATTAAAGAGGGGAATCTTAAAAAAAAACTACCTTAAACAGTTTAACTTAAATATACAAGTAGTTCTTATTTTGCATTGTCTGATACACACGAATTTCAGTTACCATGATTTAGTTAATACCAGACCACGACAACATGGTTCAAATCTCAGTTACCATGGTATATTAACTGTGAGTAAAAAGCGCAGTGTTCAATACTTGCTTTTCAGTCCACAAGCTACTATGAAAATAACATGTACATTAAAATTAGTGAGCACTTTGCATGACTTCTTTCAAAGTCTGCAGATGATCACTGTGCATTTGTTATTCAGTTCACACACAGCATTTAGTTTTGTTACCTCTGTGCCCCTGAGATAAACCCACAAGGAATTCCACAAAAATGGATAACTGAATGGGGGAATTAGCAAACATAATTAAAGTGCACAAAAGCAACACAAAGTGATGATACTGGAAGTGAAACTCAAATTGAATGTAAATGGAATTACAAAAGAAATAGCTCACTGCGGAATGTTGACATTGCTGCCATTTTAGAAACTCTAGATATGCAGACTGAAGAGATCAATGAAGGTGAACTTATCGACATAAATGAGGTAAAGTGTTTGCGATGAAAAGGCTGAATATGTCCCAGAAGAAGTGATGCTGGCAGAAATCTTCACATTAAAAGAACTCTCAAGGACTTCCCTGGTGGTCCAGTGGTCAAGACTCTGCACTCCCAATGCAGGGGGCACAGGTTCGATCCCTGGTCGGGGAACTAAGATCCTGCATGCCGCACCACATGGCAATAAATAAATACATAAATAAATAAAGAGAACTCTCAGAGATATTTCAAGCCATTGAGAATGTAAAGGATAAAATGTTGGAATCTGACACAAATTTAGAAAGGCGTGTGATAATTAGCCAAGGTAAAGAAAAGATGCTCAACTTGTAAGTTGTTCAATGAGAAGACAAGCACTGCTCAAACTATTCTTGACAAGTTTTTTTTTTTAAACAAAGAAATATACTTTGGTTCTCATCATTTCTAATATTTTACGTTACACAGATAACTGATAGTGACTTCTAGTGCTTCAAAATATTTTTTTAAAGGTCACAGAACAATTTGAATTTTCCGCACTAATTATTAAGATAACTTTGCATAGGTTTTAGCTTACACAATCAGTTTTATGGATGTGCACTACTATGCAAAGCAAAGACTGTCTGAATATTAGCTAATTTTTTGAAGAAGAATGAAATGTGCTGAACAGAGGGCCATAACATCTTTCTTCCATAAACCATACACATATTATATATAGTCTATGATTTTCAAGGATTGTTAAAATTTGTTTTTTATTTATTAATTTATATATTTTAGTTGGGTGAAAATTTAAGACATATACAAAGCAACTGAATATGGAATCTAAGACATATGCAAAGCAATTGAATGTGGAGTCTTTCTTAAGCAATGATTCTCATTTCTAGCTATACATTACAATCAGCTAGGGCGCTTTAAAAAATTCCAGTGTCCTAGACCAATTAGACTAGAATACATGGGGTTGGAACGATAGCATGAGGATTTTTTCCAAATACCCTATGTTATTTTAAATATTCTGGCAAAGTTGAAAAAGACTGTTTCATCTTTTTACACTTTCCCCAAATCTTTTATAATAACTGTCTCAATCATATCTCATTTTGTTTTAAGCCATTTGTTTGCACTATTTCAAAAGTGGTCCATTTAGTTTTATAAGAATAGCAACTTTTGTATTCATACTTCATCAGCTCCCACTAAAATGACATCATCAGAATAATAAATAAAACTAGCATTAATAGGGTTAGGGAGAAATAATGACTTTTGATAAGCACACAAAGCAATTGGTGGGAGAGATGTGCATGAGATTACTAGAGTACAGGTTTGTAACCAGAAAGGTTAAGTATGCTTGGGGAATCAATGTTTTACAGAGGAAATGAAATCTATTTAAAGATGGATTAATCTGGCAATTTGGTTAGGAAACCTTCACTGTTTTGAATTTTTATTTCTTCTAATGAAGTAAGAGGTTTAGGTCACAGAATTTTGACTGTGCTAAAGAGCTATACTTAGTTGCTTCCTCAGACCAAGGACTTTTTGGAATTAAAAGACAACAAGAAACCAAATTTTTCAGACACTCAGTGGTGCACACGATTTACATTACTACTGATATGATAAGACCTCTGGTCATATGAGGGAAAAAAGAATAATGCTGCTTCTTTTCAAAAAAGTACCGCTACTGTCACTGAAATTAAAGATAATGGACAATGTCACTCATTTTCCAAACTTTACTTCGCTGATCATTAGGGAAGAATTGCAGAACTACTTGATGGAAACAAGCCACATAGTCAAAGCAGACTGACAAATTTAGGCAGACTAACAAATTTTGATACATACGAATTTTGCTTGATTTCTTGCAGTTACTGGAATAAAAAACTCTGGATATGCCTGTATGCTTTTGTTAAAGTGGATGACCTAGCTGAAAAGGAATTACTGTCAACTGTGCACTAACGGGGGTTGGAGGACAGTAGGAGATGCAACCCCAATCATGCTTAAAACTAACCAAAACATGGTAAAAAAATTAATACTCTCTTATTTAGTTAAAACTGTATGTACTATCTAGAAATATATTTACCCATTCTAAAAGCATAATACTAAAATGTAAGGATAATACATCTTAGAACACAAAACATCATACAAATTGTGCCAAACCCTCTTCTAGGCAATGGGAATACAGGGTTTTAGAAGACAATATACCAGTAAAAAAAATAAGTATAAAATACAATTTCAGTGGCAATAAATTGAATGAAGAAAACAGAGCAGAATAATGAGATGGAGAACCATTGAGAGCAAAGAAGGGATTCGGGGGCAGCAACTGACACATTTGATGGCTCCCTCTTCAAACAGTCTTCCCTCAGCATCCATGATACCTCACCACCCTAGTTTGCCTTCAATCCCTCTGGTTACTCCTTTTCAGTTCTTCTGCAGTCTCATCTTCTGCCTAACTTTAAGTGTTGGTATTTTTCAGGTTTGTAATCACTGAACTGCTTCTCTCTTCTTACTCCACAAATAGTGCCTGGGTGATCTTATGTCCTCCTCACTTCACGTATCATCTTGCATTAAACAATCTAAATTTCTCCTGAGCATCAAACATATACTATATGCAACTGTGTCCTGCACTCTCCAAGTGAAATCTCCACAAGTTCCTTGAAAGCAATATGGGAAAAGTCAATATGAACAAAATTAAAGTAAAACTTGCTCCCTCTTTGGGGAGAGATGTTACCATCATTCACCCTGACATACAAGGCACATAGCTGGGAATCATTGCAGACTTTTCCTTTTTCATCATTCATTACATCCAGTTAATCTCCATGGCTGGTTGATACTATTTCTTAGATTTTTTTCAAATATCTTCACCCTCTTGGCCCCAACTGCCACGTCCCTGGCTTGGGCTTCCATCAACTCTCTCCTTGCAACAGTTACCTAACTTGGCTCCCAATCCTGCTCTCAACTTCAATCCATTCTCTAAGCAGATGACAAAATGCAACAGTTGTCACCTTATTCTCATCTTCTTACCACTTAACCAAGCATACAAGACTCTTCCCCATCTAGCCTCCCCTACTTCTCCAGCTTCATCTCTTGTCAATGGCCCTCTCTCCACAATTCTCTGCTCTAGTCATGCTAAACTTTGTTCAGTTCCTGGCCTATGCTCCGCCTTTAACATATTGCTTGTCACATAGTAACAGCTCACTAAATACGTTGACTAAATGAAAGAACGAATTCTTGGAAGATAGTTATTCCTTGGGAATCGGGGCGAAGGAATAAAGTAAAATGAAAATATCCTCATTTAGATTTATAGCGCCCTCACTCGAGCCCGCGTGCGCACCCACCTGCCCACAGGTATATAAAACCTATCCTATTTTCTCGAGCCACAGAACAGAAGAGTAAAGCCCAGTTGTGGTGGAGAAAAGTGGTAATGAGGCGGCCAAGTGTGAGGCAAAGCTAACACAGCCATTGGCCCAAATTTTTTTTTTTTTTTTTTTTGGTGGTACGCGGGCCTCTCACTGTTGTGGCCTCTCCCGTTGCGGAGCACAGGCTCCGGATGCGCAGGCTCAGCGGCCATGGCTCACGAGCCTAGCCGCTCCGCGGCATGTGGGATCTTCCCGGACCGAGGCACGAACCCGTGCCCCCTGCATCGGCAAGCGGACTCTCAACCACTGCGCCACCAGGGAAGCCCCATTGGCCCAGAATTTAACCTGAATATTAGATAAAAGAATAAGGTTTTCTTTACCTCCGTGTGGACTCCGCTCTCCGAAGGCGAACAGGGTCGTCCAAACCCGCTTGTCGTGCCAACAAAAACCCTAGCATCCCGTCCCTTCACACCGGCTTGCGAACTGGACGGCGCCATGACAGAACACTGAGGCTGGGGTGTAGAGCGGAGTCTCCCATTGGTCAAGCATGATGCCATCCGGCCAATGGAGAGCGTCGTTACTTGAGGGTGTACGGAAGGAGGTGGGTGGGACTCCTCTGAGCAGGTGGGCTGGGTCGGCTGCCTGGGCTTTCTCGCTTTGGTCTCAGGGAACCTCGGCAGGTCACGGCACGACCCGCGCTGGAGCCGGTGGGAAGGCATGGGTTGGTCTCAGAATTTGTTCCATGTCTTGTGGAGAGCGCTGTCAAAGGAAGTGAAGGAGCAAGTGGGCACAGACCTGTTCGGGAACAAATACTACTATATCCCAGAGTACAAGAACTGGAGAGGTGAGATGAGAGCTAGGGCAGCGGTTGGGGTGTCGAAAAACGATGTGCGGCACTTGTAATCACCAGAGTAGACAACCCGAGTTCGTTCTCCCCACAACCCTCTCTACTCTGGCCGCTGGCTTTCAGACGGGCTGTCGGTGAACGCATACAACGCTAGCGTTGTATCTCCCATCGCCGAGAGCCCCGCCAGCGGAGGACCGCCCCCTCTGCCCCCCTCAGTGTGGGTCCTTGAGGTCGGGCGACGTAGACGGGGACAAGTCCACGGACGTCTTTTACCAAAGGTTCCCGGGAGGGGTAGGGAAGTGCCTTTCCTCCTCCCGTGACCCTCTTGCGACCAGGCTGGCGCGGGGTAATTGAAGAGGTGTATTTTGAGCGCCTCCGCTCTCCTCTTTCGTGGTGTTGACCTTTTTCAGTGGCTCCGGCGTTGGCCCCAGGCGTCACCTTCCTCAAGGCCAAAACTGTCAGAAGTAGGGCCATGCACGCTGACTGTATGGAAAAGAGATCCCCGCAAGGCTCCACGTTACCTTTCCCATGAGTTTACACTCCCAAGACCCTGTTGCGCTGACTTGAAGATACAGGGCGCTAACCGTGTTTCTGTGCAGGAATCTTGCGAAGTCTTGATGTTTGGGGAGGTAGGGGCCGTTGCTGGTCTTTGAGATCACACCACGTGGCAGTCGTGGTAAACTCTTCTGTGTTGTTCCAGCGCCGCGATGCAAAAGATCTCGGGCTTTGGGGTCAGAAAGGCATGGGTTAGAATCTCAACTTTGAGATCTAATAACTGAGGGATCACAGACAAAGTATTTGTCCTCCGCAGGTCTCAGTATCCTCACTTGAAAGTTAGAGATAATAATAATAGCAATAATATTGAGAAACACTAAGACCTTTAAAAGTTGTGTTCCATTCATTTCCCGTAACTCTTGACAGAGGGCATTTCTTCTTCGTAGAGCATATGTAAAGGGTATTCCTTGATTTATTACTCAAAATTGTTTTGCCTAGCCCTTTTCTGTAACTTATTTTAATATCTTAGACTTCTTTCCCTAATGAGCATTTAAACTCTATCAGGGCAGGAAATAAGTCTTAAAAGTCCACAAAGAACCTAGAATGGTGGTGAAGTGTTTCTTGACAGAGGAAGCAGAGAGAAAAATGTTTCTTTTCCATAAGTTGTCAGGTAACGTTAAAAAAATACGAAAAACATCAGATTGACCTTTTTAAATTGAAGTATAATTTACATACAGTAACGTTCATCCTTTTTGGTGTATGGTTTTATGATTTTTGAAAAATGCATACTCTCATGTATCACCACAGTCAAGATATAGAACAGTTCCATCACCCCCAAAAGTCCCTCCTACCCCTTAATATTTCATTCCCTCACCCTGCCCTTGACACCCACCGATCGGTTTTACGTTCCTACAGTTTTGCCTTTTCCAGAACATCATGTATAATAAATGGAGCTATATTGAATACAAGATGCAGTCTTTTGAGTCTAGTTTATTTCACATGGCATAATGCAGTTGAGATTTATCCATGTATCAGTAGTTCCTTTTTGTTACTAAGTAGTATTCCCTTCCATTATATGGGTTTACCACAGTTTATCTGTTCAGCAGCTGAAGGACATTTAGGTTGTTTCTACTGTTTTTGGTGATTGTGCAAAAAGCCTCTATAAACGTTCACATATAGGATTTTGTGTGAACATAATTTCTCTAGGGTGAACAGCTAGGAGTGGAATTGCTGAGTTGTGGGTAAATGTATATATAACTAACTTTGTAAGAAACTACCAAACTGTTTTCCAAACTGGTTGTACCATTTTTCATTCCTGCCAGCAACACATGAAAGTTCTAGTTTCACATTCTCATCAGCACTTGGTTTTGTCAGTTTTTTTGTTTTTATTTTTATTTTAGACATTCTAATAGGTAGATAGTGTTATCTCATGGTTTTAATTTTCATTTTCCTAATGACTGAGGATGTTGAGAATCTTTTCATGTGCTTATTTGCCATCCATGGATCTTTGGTGAAGTATCTGTTCAAATCTTTTGACCATTAAAAAAAAATTTGTATTAATTTCATTTCATTGAAAATACAGTATCATTAAAGAAAGACTTAAATTAACAAAATCATGTGTATTCTAAAATGGTATAATTTGTGAGTCACAGGTAATGTTTATCTTATAATTTTATTATTATAATACCAAGTTGTTTTCCAAAGTGCTTATGCCAATTTATGCTTCAATTAGCTTGATATTTTGAATCCATGTACTCTTGATTGTGAGAAAATCAGGCTTTTACCAATGATGTAGTAGAATCAATGCATGCTGCTGTCTAATGTCTCTGTGTGTCTCAGTTCTTAGATAATTGAGGGCTGTGGTACAGATGTGTTATACAGTCTATAAGTACCATTACACATTTCCTAAGCCTTCTACTATAAAGCAAGGGAAAATATTTTTAGTTTGTTTTCAAGCAAGTTTTCAAAAAATAAGTCATCTAACTTTTCTATTTCCTTGATATGAAAGGTGGTTCTTTAGAGGTCTCCTTGAGTTTTCTTTGAGTTGCATAATTGAACACCATCAATGAAGAGTGTTTAAGAACCCTTTAGAGGAAATTAATTTTTCTTTTAATTCAGTTAATTACTGTGGTGCCAGTCATCAAAGAACTACTATATTTTCCACGTAGGGTTTTATTTAATAAAAGAAAATCTGTTGTTATGTAATTCAAAATAAGTCTTGAGTATTGTCTAGTCAGCTGAACTTAAGTTTAGAACTGTGGAAATTTTAACTTTTTTTAAAAAAGCATATTGGCATTTCAGGATAAAAAGATTATGAGTATAGCATGTACTCGGCATTTTTAATAGCAAAGTGTTGATTGACATCTTTTTATTGAAAGTTTGCTTGCTCTATAGTAGATTATTTAGTAGAAGATTCCTCAAACTTGATCTAGAAAATTCCTTAGTTATTGCACCCTTCTTATTTGTAATTTCCCTGAGTTTTTATCCATACGATTCCATTTATCTCATGTTTCAAAAGGTAATTCTCTTCCTTTCTAAGATAAATTCTTGTATTTGTATACTTGATTCTGACTGGAACCTCTTTGAACCTTGTTTCATTATTTTCACCTCCTTTTGCACGTTTATTAAACATCTACCCCCCTAAAACTAACAAATTTGTTAACTGAAGAACTATTTTGAGTTGTTATTTGCTAATTGACATTGTGAATGTCCGGATTTTGGGGGTGGGGTGAATATTATGCATAATATGCAAAAACACCTGTTTGGAGTATTGTGTTTGGTTCTGGACACCACAGTTTAGGAGAGATGCTTGAAAATCTAGTGTCCAGACAGGGATAGTTATGATGATAAAATTTTCTGGAAATTATATATGTGAATATTATTAGCTGTGAGTCTTGAGGAGGTTTACCCTTTGAAGAGAAGATTTACGAGGAACTTCAAGTATATGAAAAATTGTGGTATAGAAAAGGATTAGGCTTGGGACTTACCTGGTGGCCCAGAGGTTAAGAATCTGCTTTCCAATTCAGGGGATGCAGGTTCAATCCCTGGTTGGCAAACTAAGATCCCACATGCCACAGGACAACTAAGCCCATGCACTGCAACTACTGAGCCCCTGTGCCACAACTAGAGAGCCCAAGTGCCGCAACTACAGAGCCCACACACCACAACTAGAGAGAAGCCTGCACACCACGATGAAAGATTCAGCATGCCGCAACTAAGACCCGACACAGCCAAATTTTAAAAAAGATAAAAGGAAAGGATTAGGCTCATCTGTATAGCCTTTTAACTCAGAACTTAGATCAGAGGGTAAATGTTTACCTTTTTATAAGAAGCAACTTTCAGACTGTTAGGGCTGTGCTAGAAAAAGAAGAGAGTGCCTTATGTTTGATTGTAGCTGGGAGAATTTAGGGAGATAAGTAGCTGGAAACATTTGATCAGCACCTTGAAGGATAAATACGATTTCACAAAGAGTGGTAGAAAAGTATTTCTGGTTGGCACCTGGAAGGGATAGGAAATACCACAGAGATTAGAAGGTTGTCCCATGTGGGTAGACTTCAGAGTAGAAGAACAATAGAAGCTGTTCTAGTGAGGGGATAGACAAGGTCAGATTATAAAAGGCCTTGCATAGGTTTGAAATTTATGCTTCATTCTGTAGGTGGTAGGTAGCCATTGAAAGCTTTTCAACAGAGAAAAGTTTGTGTCATAATTAGAGCTATTAGAGAAATGACTCTGGAAGCCCTGGGAAAGATGAGCTAGAGGGGAAAGGGAGGGAACTAAAATTCTGTTAGGTGGGAGCATCGCTAGGTTTACTGTGATCCTGGATAGAGATCTATTTGGACTGAAGTGATGGAAAGAAAAGTTTGATTTGACAAAACTTTTGGACTTGGTAATGAATTGGACTGTTAGAAGGGGAAAGAAAAGAGGAGAGGCCAAAGTTGATTTTATTGTTTTAATTCTGGAGAACTGGTGGATGGTAGTGTACCGATTCATGCAAATAGAGGCTATAAGGGACTAATGCAAATGGAGAAGCAGGGCTTAGGCTTGGCTTGGTGGAAGAGTAAATAGAATTTGTTGCTTATAACAGGGCACCTGTATAATCAGGCAATTGTATACTCAGATCTGCAGTTCCAAAGATGTCAGTGATTAAAATACAAATTTGGAAGCCATCTTAATAGAGGTGATCACTAAAACTGTAGGGATAGTTGGATTCAAGCAGGGAAAGAATAATAATAACATGATATTAAGAGACAGGTATTTGGGGGCTTCCCTGGTGGCTCAGTGGTTGAGAGTCCACCTGCCGATGCAGGGGACGCGGGTTCGTACCCCGGTCTGGGAAGATCCCACATGCTGCAGAGTGGCTGGGCCCGTGAGCCATGGCTGTTGAGCCTGCGCGTCCGGAGCCTGTGCTTCGCAACGGGAGAGGCCACAACAGTGAGAGGCCCGCGTACCGCAAAAAAAAAAAAAAAAAAAGAGACAAGTATTTGGGAACCCTGGCATTTCAG